ACACATCAGGCCACAGACCTGTATTTGACAAGATGTAGTCTCTGGGATCTCCGTCTGAGGAGATTTACTTATACCATATCTGTCTATACTGAAGATTGGCAGATTAAAGCAGCAGTAGGTAACATTTATAAAAAAATATGTTTTGTTATATTTGCAGAAACTTCTGTGGAAAAAAACAGGTTCCTCTGGCTCCTCCTATTGCTCCTAATGGTATTTCTAAGAATCCACCAGGCCTGGATGAAAACCAATCAGAGCCTAGAAAGATAGAAAGCAGCTTTGGGTTGGAGGCTTGAAGATAGCTCTATCTGCTCTGTCTGTTTGACCAAGGGCAGAGCTGAACTACACACAGCAGACAGTGCAACTTTGGCACAAAATCTGGCAACAAGCACCTTCCGCAGGATTGTGCGGAGGCGCTTTAGAACATAACCACTGTGAAATCAGAAAATATGATTTTATTTCTCTAATTCACTGCTTTGTTCTCGGTAACAGCGTTTCAGCTCTCGCTGTATACCTTGTTTTATCGGAGAGGAGCGGCGGACTTTGAATGGTGCGTTTACAAATGGCAACGAAAATCCTGCATTGTATGTCTTTAAGGTCTTGTTTATTTCAGTTGGAACCACACACTGAACCTGGGGCCTTGGCCCATTTTGTAGTCTAGCCTTGCTCAGTAAGTATATCTGCTGGCCACTGGCAGCACTTATTTTTGAAAGACAGGTTTTGTTACTTGATATGAACTGCAGATTCACACATTTTGGCTTAAGGAATCACAAACATGTAGCAGTTTATAAAAGTGGTTTACATCTTTGATATCAATGAGGCTCCAAAAAGGTTGGACCAGCAGACCAGCTGAATTCAGCCAGTATAGTAGCACTTTCTGTCCCGCCTTTTGCTGCAACAACATGCTGCTGCAGCTTGTTTAGCCCAAACTACAGTTGCTATAAATTATGAGTCATAATAATACCTTACTGTGTGTTTCTGAGTATGCATGTTCACTTCCTGTCTATAGATGAACGTCTTTGCTGCTCTTTCTGCAGGATGCCTGATGTGTGTGCGTGTGTGTGTGTGTGTGTAAAAGCACAGATTTCGATGATAATTACCATCAATGAGCTCTTCTTTTAGCTTCGACAGCTCCTTCCTCATCTCATCCAGAATGTCCTAAAAAACAGAAACAAAACAAAGTCACCTCTTCATTCAAACATGAGAGACAAACCAGTCTTGGGCCACCTAGCAGCTCTCATTTCCACCTTCAGCTCCCCGTGGATAGTCATTAACAGACATAGCTTCCTTTGGCTGTTGGATGTAGTTGGGTGGAGGACCTGCCAACTGGCAAAGGGAGAGTCTCTGTCTTCTTTAAGGAAGAGCTAATCCCTGTGTAGGGAATCCCTGTGAGATTAGTCCTAAAGACTCAGTTAATGACAGCAACACGTAAACAAAGTGACAGAGGAGAGTATTTGGGTAAACTCTAATGAGCCTTAAGCTTCAGATGTACTCTTCTGCCTCCAAATCACACTGAATGGGAAAGTGATAATGACGGTGGGTATAGAGGTGGGTTTGTAGGGTGCTGGTAGCAGTTGTAGTGACAGATAGGCAGGACTCAGAGTGACTGTGGACTTATCTAACATGCTCATTCTGCACTGCACACACCCTCACCAGTATACTAGTAACGGGGCTGCATAATTAGTTAGAAAACAAAGTGACCAATGAAAACCCCTGTCAGTGAAAGCTATGCCAAACCAGACATTATGTATTATTTAAGGGGGGTCAGTACAGGTGAATAGGATTTTTCTAATCTAACTAATAGATATTGCAATGAAACTTCCCTGTTGGTTACTTACATTAAAACAATCCTTTATGGTATTACAAGTTTTCTTAAATGTTATGTTTAAATAAGGCATTTTCTAATTTAAAATGTGCTAATTTGCATACATTTTTACAGAGACGTTTGGGTATGTCTTTATATTACTCCAAACATCAACTCAACAGCCATAAGAAAATCTATTTTGGATTTGTTTTTAGGAATAAAATGTAATCTAAAACCACCTATGAATGATACATGGACAAACCCCTGAGCAAAAACCTTCAGAATAAAGAAAGAAATAAAACTGGAAGGCTTGGTGTATGTAAGTGCTACTAGACAGGACAGCAAAACAAAAAGTAAACCTCATTCTCAGTTTCACCCAGATTACCCAACAAGCAAAGTCTGTCCTCCTACCGCTCTCTAGGGCTAATGGTAATGTTCCTGAACGCAACTGTACACAAAGGGATCTTTGTCTTTTGTTCAAGGTTTACTTCACAGAATGTTCTACACTGTATTATTCTTTATGAGACAATAAGTATGTAATTTTGGTTTTTACCATATATCAACAACTTTTCTCTATACCTGAGAAACATTTTATTCCTAATCTCCAGAATATCACAAAGTAACCTGTACTGGAAAATGGATGTCAGATTGTTCAAGTAAAATAAGGATTTCAACTCATAAGCCCAGGGACGGCGATGGGAAATGTCCCAGTTAAATGTCTTTTTAGTGAGTCTCTGATCAAACATCTTCAAAAACCTATTCCAAACACTACTATACTACAGGTGACTAATAACCATGCACTGTATTTACATTAAAACAAATATTTGCTGAAATGGTTATGGTTTGAAATATGCAAATGAGGCATTATCTAATGCTAACTTTAGGAGAAATCTACCAAAATAAACCCCTAAATGTGTAATTTTTCCACTAGTCTAAAAGATGTTATAGAGGCTAAATAGCCAAAATCTCAAAATTGACCAATGCATGAAAGAAACAATGTTTTTGACTGCACCTTAACATTACCATTCTTAATATGCAGGTCATCACTGAAACCAATTTTGGTATCATAGACCAAGATTTACATGTAAACCTCATATCATCTGGATATCTACCGTCATGCCGGTGTTTTGTGCAGCATATTAGCGTAAAACACACAAAAAGTTGCGTTTCAGACAAACTTAATAATCAAATCTGTGTGGATATCATTCAGAAAAAGTGCAGTGAAATAATAATTTAAAAAAAGTTATCTCTAACTACTGACAGATTAACAGACAGGATTCATTAAAGCGTTAAATACATCAAAGCATGTGGAAGAAGCAATTGCAGCATAAAAAAAGATGAAACCTTTTAAACAGCCCGCTTGTTGTAGTCTGTTCTCACCTTTACGACTTAATACCACACAAAAAGTTGTACATCGATTAATTACATGACAGTATAATATCCCCACCCATAATGTACAGTGATGAAATAATAATTCAAATGTGTTCACCCACCTGTTTCAATCTGTCATAGTCAACAGATTCTGTTGGCACACCGTTGGCACTTAAGGATGCAGTAGGTGTAGGAGTGGATTTAGGTCTGCCAGGAGAGACAAGAACAGAAACTGAGTGTAATAGAAAGAAAAGGAGCCAGGGATGAAGGAAAAAAACAGATGCTCAAAGAACAACACAGGTTGCTACAATATTGTCTACCAAATAAATACACATTTTGGATTTAGTAGGATCACTCAAACCACAGCATCTGACATTCATATCAACACCTAAAATAGTTCTAACTTGTGCTAACATACTGAAGCAACTGATGGAAAACTCCAAAAGCTTGGAGTATGATACATATGACCTAAACTATTACTATTTTTACTACTACTAAATATTAGCAGCATCTGGTAGGTGGCTATTTACAGAAGGATGTTGCTGCCACGCCTGTTGCCATGTTACTAGCTCTTTTTATTTTTCTGGTGTGGCAGCAATAACCTTCCATATATATTGATAGTTTCACAGCCTGGTGACTTTTCTGTGTGCTGTGTGGTTTCAACATTTTCTGCTTGGAAACTTTTAACCGAAAATTAACCATGAACCGTTATCAGAATCAGAATCAATCAGAATCAGAAATACTTTAATAATCCCAGGGGGAAATTATTTTTGTTACAAACTCCAGATAAAATGATCACATCCAAGAAAGCTCTTTCCTAATTTTTTGTTGGCAAAAACCTGTAGAGTTTATATGTTTGTTCAGTTTGATGTAAAATGTTAAGAGAATGCTGCCAAACTGCAGTTAGGAACCAAATCCTGGTAATAGCATGCACACACAGTGGAGAAGAGCACACTCACCTAGGCATGCATGTAAACACACACAAAAGCTAAACACACACATCCCATTTGTTTCAGTTCACCTATTTCAATGAAACCTGCTAGGTGCAACCTATTACACTTTTTTTTCTTCTCACGTCTGAAGAAAAGCGATAAAGCCAGGAGGATGGCAGCGAGTGAGGAGAGAGCTTGTAGGTGCAGCTACGCCGAGAGAGCTCTCTACTTTACGTGAGAAACATCACGGGGGGAAACTCACAGAGTGGCCAATCACTTTAAAGAGAGGAAGTGTGACAGGAAGCAGAAGTGAAAGATGAGGAAATGAGCTCAGCAGGTCATTTAGTAGCTCTGGGTTGGAAATACTGTACACGGGAACATGGAAATTAAGTGTATGGTCCTTTAGTTGAGTGTTTCCGGTGGAAAGATTATATACAGAGCGCAGAACTAAAGACATACAAAAACAGAGAAGCTGACATAGATTCAATCAGTTTACACTCAATTCAAAAACATTTCTGTACAATATTAAAAAATTGGGGAAATATTATATCAGTATATCTGTCTGATGTGTCTGTATGATTTAATCCGTATCATTAGGACAGGGTTTGTGCAGGTTGCAAAAGGCAAAAGGTTTATTTAAGACAGTTTAAAACCATTATGAATGCAATTTAAGACCTATTTCACATCCAAACTGACAAAAAAAGTATAAAGGATATGAAGGACAACTGGTATCAATTCCATGTCAGTTTCGTTTTGCAGTTGTTACAGAATGATAAATCTTCCCAAAAATACATTTAAAAGCGAGTTAAAAGTTACGTTAACTTTATTAATACAATAGATTTTTAGGACCTGATATTGTAATCATATTTTATACGTTTTAAGGCCCTTGTATTAAGACCCTGCTGACACCCTGTAGGAGTTCACTATCATAAAATACTACAAAAACGTGCAGAGCTGCAAGTTGATGTGGTCTTACTGTGCTCAGCTCTCTGTGGGTCACATATTAAAGTCACTTTTAATGAGCTAGAATCAAAAACGCCCATCTGTCCTCCTCTCTTGTGCATGTGCGTGCACACACACATACACACACACAACGGGGCCTTATCTGGGACTGCATGCCGGATCTGCTCTGGCTCTACAATGATAATACTGTGCCAAGTCTACTCGGCACTGGGCGGACACTCATTTCTCTGTCTGTGTGTATGATAGGGTGGGTGTACAGTGTGTGACGCACACATATGGATTTCCTTGTTTTAGAGAAAAAAAGAGAAGAGTTTGGAGGGCAGCGGGCAGAGCAGCATGCAAAAACAACAACTAGATTACTTTAGAGGTCCATCATACAGACAGTGACTGCTTTAGAAAACACGACATATTGGACCTAATGGCAGATATCAAACAGGCGCACATAGCTGGCCCCTGCAGGCTGGTAAATTTGGAAAAGAACACAAAGACGACAACACAGGATTCATTCCAAACGTTTCATCCAAGCATTCGAAAATAACCCTTCTCCAACAACAACAGCACAGCAAACCTCGATGGGGGCGGGGGGAAAGGAGGTTGTTTTAAAGAAAAGGATTTCTCAAACTCTCTCTGTCTCTCCTCTCTACCTGTTGGAGGAGTCTGCTCCAATGGGATTTCTCCACGGAGACTCTCGTCTGTGTGAGCAGCAGAGACACTGACTTTACAAATGTGGTATCTATCTGAGTCTGATGAGACGGCCCTGGGTCAGTTTACGACGCCCACTCAGCTTTATTGTTTATTCAAACACTCATTTTCACATTTCCTTGGGATTTAATGTAGAAGAACCTACTGAACCTTTAGCACTGTTTGATCCCAGTAGTATCTTATAGCTGAAGAATCTTTTAGTCATCTTAAATAAGCACTACAGTAGATCTGGATCTGGAAGTAAAAGTATTATCAGCAACTATCTGGCAACTCACAACTGGCATTATAAGGCCCTGACTGCATTGTCCATAGATCTGTTTATTTATAATTGTGAGCTTGTTCTAGTCATATATTTACTTAGCAACTTCCAGATGCCCATATTTGTTTACTGGGGTAGAGAATTACCACCACAGACAATGCCTTTTAAGATGTATGGAGGGCATTAAGTGAAAATCTATGTTTTTCTACCCTAATGAGCTAAAACACAGTTTCTAAAAAAAGTGTGCCTCAGTAATGACACACATATCATTGAGCTAACGGTACATATATTTCCACCTTGATCAGGGGTTTTAAAAGTCTGAGACTGTCGGCCTCCCCTCAGACAAAGCTTGGAAAAAGCCCTCCCCCCTCTATCCCATAGTTCAGGGGTTCCCAACCTGGGGGTCAGGACAGAAAACACTGAATTTGTCAAAAAAGTAGCCTGTTAATTCTGTATGATTGTTAAAAAACATAAAAATACATAATACAGGCAGATAATTGTATAAAAAAGTTCCCTAAACAGGAAATAATCTGCTCTAAATTCATCCAAATCAAGTTCCTGCAGTTACTGAGTTCACCGTTTGGGTTCATTATACAGTTTTGAATATAATATTCATGAAATATGTCACTGAGTCAGGGGTCGTCATAGAAAAGGGGCTCCTGAAGGAAAAAGGTTGGGAACCACTGCCTTAGTTGATTTAGTTTGGCTCAATTCAAAAAAGGTCTGTCCTAAAGCATTTATTAGTTTCTGACTCTGAGAAAAAAATATGAAATTCCCCAAAACTACTGTATCTCTACTATCTCTTTAACCAAATCACACACATTTAGGCAATTCTATGTGATAACTTATTTCACTTTCATTCACTTAGCCTTTCCTGAAACAGTTTGAAGCCTCCCACTTTGAAAACATCTGGCCTAGATGTTAACAGATAAATATCAAGTTTAAAGTGTACCTGACACATTCAGACAGAATCTTTATAAGTGCTTAGCTAAATTTGACTTCTCCACTCGCACAAGAGACCTCAGTTTAAAGTTGGCTGTGTGATGCACATCCCACGTGCACACGAAGGCGACATAAGCTTTAGTGATGTTAGCCAGTGTTGAACGGCCCCAGCGGTGCATCATGCTAAAGCTAGCTGATGCTATTGCTTTAATATGCCCTCGTCTCGTTTACTGGGAAATGAGGTTTAGTAGCATCGCTGCTTGCATTCAGGTGAGCAGCGATGCTAATGAAGCATGAATAATGTGAGCATATACTTTTGACAATGAAACTTTGGAAAAATATATGATATAAAATGTACTTCAAGCACAACAATACATAACAAATAACACAATGAAAGAGAGATGGGGAGGAACTGTACCTTCCGATGACTGGAGATTTGCTACCGTTCATGGTGTTTGTTCTTTCCCATGGCTTCCTGGGCATGTCTGGACAAAAACAAAGAATTATGAAAAACAACTCTTGCAGTATGACATGAAGTCCAGCTACTCACAAATGTAAATTCCACTGTAATCATCTTAAAAAAAGCTTTTAAATAACCAAAGAACAACAGATTTGCTGTGATGCTAACTTGGATCCTCGTCGCCTGCGTTAGGAAGATGCATCATTAATTCCTGTCGCTGTTGCTGATGTTTCCCCCCCAGTCTTCAGACACTGAGTGTTGGTTCCCTCTGACACTCACCTGGTGTGCTACAGGCTGACATTTTAGGGGTCGTGTTTATCTCGCCCTCCTCCTGTTGGACAGACAGAAGAGGTTCAAAGGTCAAAGATGAGTTGCACTCAGAGGGACACAAATGTACCTCGTGGTGATAGGGATATGGGTTATCTTTTAGACAGTCAGGAGAGGCTTAATCTGTGTTTAACCAGTAACATTAAGACACAAGTAGCTTTTGAAAACACCAGAGATGAAGGCAAAGAAAGAATAATCCCTTATAACACCAACACAACCATTTGTAAATCATAATCGTGCAAATGCTGCTTGATAATGTGATTTGTGATAACCTAAAAAAGAAAATGACAGGGCAATTGTTTTAAGAAAACTTTCTTTAAAATTAGGAAACATGCAAAATATGCACACTGAAGAAAAGTGGAAACTCTTTTAAAAAGATACAGTTGATAAAACTGAACATTTCCTGCAGATGTTAGGGTTAGGGCCACATTAAAAGCCTACAAGAAATGGGGGGGGTTATACCCTTTGAGCTGCTGGAGGATTTTTTAATGTGGGGGAAGTATTGAGGTTTGTTGACATTAGCTAGGAAGTGAGTGGAATTGATTAGCAAATGAAAACAACCTTTCTGTCGTGAGAGAGAAACTCAGAGACAGAGTGGTGAGTATGTACTGATGGAATCTGTGTTGTGGACATGTACATTAGACTGAATCAGGAGTGTTGCATGAACAGAAAAACATCCCCAAATAAACTGGAACAGATCAGAATTTGATTGCATTTAATTACTAAAATATGATAAAACACATGTATACATGGCAAATACAGTAATATAAGCCTGTTTTAAATAAAGGCCTGGTATATGGTCTATAGTAGTATTTGAGACTTCATGGTACATGAAAGTAATGATTACAGACTGGAATGTGTTACATGACATCCACACAAGACCCGCAGACTATCGCACAGATAAAGCAGTGAGTGATAGAGGACTCATTGCAGAGAAGGAATGTAGTGAATGCTTCATGTACAGCCTGGACACACTGAGGAAACCGTGTGTTTTATTACACAAAGGAGCTATTGTGTGATTGAGCAGTGAGTGAGCGGTAAGTAATGATATTTGGACCTAAATCAGACAAAATGTAGATATCACAGACGTGAGAGATGAGAGATGATACTTACTGATCTCTGGTCGGGTTCAGGTGACGAACCCTTCTCTGCAATTCTTCTCCTGTTAAGATATAAAGCCCAGGTTCATCGACAGAGCTCAAACCATTTCTTTCAGATCTGCGTGTGTCTCATCTGTCATGTTAAGCACTTCTAGGGTGACTGTTTTAATTTTCTCAATTAATTGATTTGATGTCTATACAATGTCGAAAAATTGTGAAAAATGTTGATCACTGTTTCCCAAAGCCTAATGTAAAATATCTGTCTGGTTTTGTCCACAACCCAATACATTCAGTTTACTGCCATAGAGGACTAAAGAAACCAGAAAATATTCACATTTGAGTGGAAACTCAAAATCAGAGAATTTCTATATTTTTACCTTAAAAAATGACTTAAAACAATGAACAGACTCTCAAAATAGTTGGCAATTCATTTAATAGTTGACAACTAATCAATTAATCTACTAATTGTGGTTGCTCTAGGCATTACCTAATTGTTTTTCTCAGCATGGACAGCAGCTGACCCTTCTGTAAACTCCCTTATTTGGGTACATTTTCCTTTGTTTTATTTTCATGTGCTATCATTGAAATTCAGCAAATAAACCCATGTAATAGTTATATAATAAAGTAGCAGTAAGAATTATTTGAATTAGAAAGAAGAAAGTAAGGACCAATGGGATCTGATGGGTGTTGCCAGAAATGTGTCACCACAGAATAAACACACATTAAGATAAAAATAAGAACCAAAGTTTCCTAAAAATACATTTTCAAATCCTGAAAGTATAACAACAAGATCTGGAATTCATCTGAAACACTAAGTGTGTGCGCCTAGCTTGAGGCTAACAATAGCATGTGATGTGACTCTACCTCCTGGCCAATAGGGCGCTCATCTCCTCCATAAGCCCTCCTCCTCCGGGCAGAGGGCCGTTGCCTCTGGCTTCAGATTTGGCCCCCGTGGCCCCTCCAGCACCCAATATGGCTGCTGCCAAAGCTGCCCCTGCATCATCACTCTGAAGGGATACGGACAGCAATGTCTCTTGTCAAACACAAATGAATGTAACGAGTTCTTTGCAATCAGAGGAAAGTCGTAGCCCCATTTTGAGAAAAATATAAGAATTGTAAACATGTCTTTTTTATGTTTTCCTCTAGTAGATTTTGGTATTTTGTCATGATCTATGTTTGCAGGGAGTCTATCAGCAATACATGTAAATCTCCCATGAGTCTGAGATGAGATTTGACAGATGGTGTGTGTGTGTGTGTGTGTGATCATGCGTGAACATGGAGTATGTGCGTGAACGTTTCAGTGACAGTGATTCTGTGCGATTATGATCATTATGATTATTATCAACAGTGTTTCACTGTTAAGGACACAGAGATTGATAGAAAAATAGAACTGTGTGTCAGCACACGCAGCTCATCACCTCCATAAAGCTTTTAGAACCTATATGGTGCAGACAGGAAGAGCTATATGAGTGCAGACACGGGCTGTCAAGCCTTCCATTGATCAAATAACCAATCAAGCGCTCACCCTTGGCACTTTGCGCAGCTTGGCTCCGGCGAGGGCAGCGGCCAGACCTGAGATGGGGCGGTCCTCTGCAGGAGAGAACAGTCCGATGGGGAGGGGAGGCGCTGGGGGAGGGGGTGGAGCCCCGGGAGGAGGAGGTGGACCTGGTGGAGGAGGGGGGGTCCCGCCTGAGTTCCCACGTGGAGGGAGAGGGAGGAGCGGGGCGGGAAGGGTGGCGCGGGGTGGTGGGTGGCAGCTGGGGTGGCGGCCCACGGAAGTCACGTGGGAGCCGGGTGGCCGGGTGGAGGTGGGGGAGGGGTCGGGGTGGTCAACCCTGGGGTCTGCACCATGTCTGTTGGGGGAGGGAATAGAGGGTGGGGGGATGGGCGAAGACACAGGGATGGATATTTAAGTTCAAACTGTCACTTTTTTGGAAACTATTACACAGCAAAAACAGGTTGATTTTGTCTAAGCTGAGCTTGAAATCAGTTCATCGTCTTAAATCTGACACTTTCCATATAGAAATGCAGAAGTCAGCATACACTGGTTTCACTTTTGGAAAATAATTTATCAGGTTTATCCCCTCCCTGCCAAATGCTTTTTCACTATACATCATTGCATTATTGTATTATCTGACAAATCTGCTGAGACCTAAAAAACAGAGCAGCATTAAACAATGTTTCAAACAGGTTACACCCTTTTACATTTGTAGTGCAATAATGGTGGATGTCATTTTCAAATGAAACGGAAGATGGAGTACACTTATTCGGTATGACAGCATGCCACATCACATCACAGCATCTTATTCTATCATCATGCAGTGTTAGTGACAGTGGTGGCGACTGAGGTTTGTAGTTAGGAGTAGGGCTGTGCAACATGACAAAGTGGTTAGACAAGTACACAGTAATCAAAGTGATAAACAGTACACTTAATTGCCCAACCCGATTTGGAAGGTATAACAATAAATGGAGCAGAAAGGAAACATGAATGAAGCATGAATTAAAAAAAAATAAACACTTTTTGGTGCCATGACACACTGAAAATAACACATAATGACCAACGGAATACAAACTAGTTTTGTCCCTTTTGCACATGTTATGTCCTCTAAGGATAATAATCATGTTGCTCCCACTTCTCATCACAGACATACTCAATCCATAATCTATGATGGAATGTGAACATGCTGTGCTGTGATCAATATTAAACCAGCAGTCCAGTCCCTTCCAGGCAATCACTTTGACAATCTCTGAGGTCAAAGGTCATTAGAACACCCCCTGCAGCATATAAGTGAAATGCCAAGGGATGGTCAGTGGAACGCTGGTTCATTTGCATAAAAATGCTGAAAGTCTGTTTTATTTTAATGAACTGAGCTTACAAGTGATTTTTTTGTTATTGTTTACATATTTGGGGATGTAATAAAGTTAGGCTTCCTTTTAAAATTCCAATTTAAAGCTGCAGTAGATAACTTTTAGGAACAACTTTTGCAAATTTTGCTGAAACTTCACTATATCTGAAGTAGAACATGAGACAGATTATCTGTGAAAAAATCAGGTTCCTCTGGCTCCTCCTATCGCTCCTAATGGCATTTCTAAGAAACCAACAGGCTTGAACGTAAAACAACCAATCAGAGACAGATAGTTGATTGTTGAGTCTGATTCCCAAGTCGTCTAATACTAAATGCAAATTTTTTCACAGATGATCTGTCTCATGTTCTACTGTTATTTTCATAAAAGTTAGCTACTGCAGCTTTAACTGCGAAATGTAAGAGTATGTATTTTTTTATGAAAAAAACCCACTGGGACATTACTTTGGGAAATCAATTACAACATTGTTCAACAACTAGCCTGGACTGGCCAGAGGACACTCAGCAAAGTGTCAAAACAGGGAAAATCAAATGGCAAAATGATAACATCAACATAGAGGTGGAAAGAAATGCTGAACTTTGGTTGAGAAATGGATTGACGGAAGAAAAACAACCAAGATATGAGAAAGGCAGTGGTTGTGTGCAGACTTCGGTCAGTGATCTGTATCCACGGAACAACACATTACTCACAAATAGACAGACATGCCACGCACGACATATTTCATATCCAACGAACAGTCAGCAGGCCAGGCCTTTACGCAGCAAGCACATTGACGTACATGCAGTTTATGAGAGTGACAAAGAAGTTAGACAGGCCTGAACAACTGCTACACCAGGAGATCCCACAATAGTCACCGTAGCAGCGTTTAATGCAGCCAGAATTGTCACTATGGAGATTCATTCTGGAGTCAGGTTACAGTAGCCAGGACTGACATTTTGCTAAAAAGAAAGCCTCTGACATCAGCCTGTATTATGGGACTCACTTTGTGCTGTGGCCAGTTCAGTAGCAAGATCCAACAGTGTTCAGTAGCCCCCCGACCCCCACCCCTGTTAGTGTGTGAGTCAAAAAGCAGTGAAAGGCAGAGGGGAGAGAGGCAGTGAGAAAGACAGTCCGGACTGGAGGCCTTACCCTGGGGCTGGGGTTGACAGGTGGAGCCCCACTGAGGCAGGTGTGGCTCTGGGCCTGTAGCTGTGTCCAGCTCCCCCGGCCCCGACAGGCCCAGGCCCACGGGGAGGGAGAGGTGCTCGGCAGAGGCAGAGGTGGAGGCAGGTGCTGCGGCAGCGGTGGGGTGCTGTGGAGGGAGAGGGCACACCAGGCCTGGGATGAGGAGGGTAGGGGGGAGACGAGACGAGGAGGAAGACGGAGGAGGAGCTATTGGGAGAGCAGGCGGGTGGGGGGCCAGGAGGGGGTGGGGGCAGCGACCCGTTGGGGGTGTGACTGTGTGGGATGTCACGGGGGAAGCGCGGGGAAACATGGGCGGGCCGTTGGCCGCGAGGGGGGGCTTCTGGGTAAAGGGGAACGGTGCCGCATGGGGATGAGCGGCCGCGGGACCTGCGGCCTCCTGGCGGCTGGCTGCTATGCATGACAGGGGTGGAAGGGTGGCAGAGGAGTAATGCACGCGACCACACCACGGACTTTGGCCGGGAGGTGGAGCAGGCGGGGTGAGCGGGCGGGAGTGGCGGCTTGGAGAAAGGCTCTGCTGTCGCCGTCGGGGACCGTGGCGTCAGTGGAGGCAGGACAGGGTGGAACGGCAGAGCCGAGTCGAGTGGCGAATCTGGAGGCTGATGACCTAGAGGCGGGGTTGGGGAGTGGTGGAGGAGGGCGACCGCCGTCCCAGTGAGCTGGGTTAGCGTTGGTGTGGATGGACGATACGGGCCGGTGGGGACGTACCTGCTGTACTCCGTGAGCGATGGAGTGGTACAGGGTGCTTTTCGGAAGTGCAACAAGCGCGACGCGAAATGGACCAAACCAAGGACAAGACAGGACAGAAGGGAGAGCGACGAAAGGAAGGAAGGAAGGAAGGAAGGAAAGAAGGCCGGAAGGAAGCAGCCGTCATGCACACAGGAGGGAAAGACAGAAGGTCAGGAAAGAGAGAAGGAAGGAGGGAGAGAGGAAAAAAGAGAAGGGGGCAGATGAAGCAGGAAAAACCAGCACAGAGCTATACCAAAGTTTTATTCCAGGTTGTGTGTTCTTTCTTGGACTGAGATGATGCTACTGTGTTAGTGGACAGGTGTTAGCACAGTGGACAGAGCCAGAGACACAAAGCTGTCATAGTCTTCATAGAGAGAAGAGGGGACAACAAACGGACTGAGGAGGAAAGTTGAGAGGAGCAACAGTTTACCACGTAGCACACAGCCACAGATCAGTAACCACCGTCATCAAGCCAGTTCAGTCTGCAGGGGGACATCAAGTCAGACATAGAATTTAACCACATTTACCCAAAGACCCAACATGCTCCACTTAATGGAACGCTTACCAAAACAAAGAAAGCCAACAACAAATTCCGTAGTTGAAACTGTGTGCAGTACCTTCATTCTGGAAGCAACATCCCATTCAAAATGAAAACAAACTACATGTAAACTGACTGCTGTGGTGTCTTTGGGCAAGCTTTTTGAACCCTAAAATCGCACTCAAGCGTGATTGTTCTGTAAAGTTTCTGGTAGTCAGCCCGATTGTTTTTTTTAAGGATATTATTGAAAATTACTGTAAAGAGGAGGACTATGAATTAGGCCCTATTTTTACTGTCATTGTCTATTTTAACATACAAAAATTACATTTAACATGTACAATATTAGTTGCTTTAGTGTACATCTGCTTACACTTTGCACTGACTGCAACACACTCAAAGTGCCAAAAAAAAAGCATGAACACATTTACCTCTAGTTTAGTATGTACTGTAAATGTCGATATCTTGTTCAAGTGAGGGGGGGGGCTCTGATGGCGTGAACCCTATTAGCCAACAGCAGACCCTTCTCTCCTGTGTCACCCATAGTGAATCTTGTTATCTTGTGTAATGTCTCCTATTTTTATTGTATACTTCCAGTACGGTGGGCAGTGTTGGTTACCAGTGTCAGGTTCCCATGCTACCCGAGTCTCCTCTTTAAGGGATAAATAGTTGAAGCTGTGTTTAGTTCTGTTGATAGCCTTGCTGTTAGTTTAAATCCTTACTATCTAAACTCTTTTTATCATCTGGCTTTCTTTTCATAATAACCTTACACCCACTTCTCTACTTTACAGATCTTAATGGCCTATATTCTCTATAGCAGGGTTTACGAGGAGTGCCTCATTTAAACGTGGGGATTTTGTCCTCCTGTTTGATTACGTGTCTATCCCTGCTGAATCACACTGATTACCTAGATTGTGTTTGTTTATGTGCGACTATAGCGCTTAGCGTAGCCTGGATGCTGTTGTATGAAGCTGCCATATGTTTTGTGTGTGTGTGGGGATGGTGTAAAGTTGTTAATCCTCTGTTCACCTTCTGCTCCACTTCCCCTTTGCCAGTGATGCACTTCTGCACTTTTCTGCAGTCCCTATTCTCATGACTGGATTTGAATTTATTGCACTGACATAATTTTCAGTGATAGATTTTTTTATTGAAGTCAATTAGGTGTTCAGTTTCTGTCTCATACTTTATGTTGTGGGCTTTATTTAATCAGCTGCTTGAGGTCGAAGGTATAATAACCCTAAATCACTCACCGACTCAGAGACGTGGTTTAAACCCATACGTTCAGATGCATAAATGGACATAACACACAGACCTTCTCTCTCACACACACACCAGCACCATGACCTGACTGTGCCGGGTCACACACACACACACACACACACAGTAGGAACACTACTGGAATTCACGTGAACACCTAACCAGCAGTCACAAGACAGATGAACTGATGGATTCGTAAGACTGCTTGGCTCCTTTCCAGCTTCCCTTCCTCTACGCGACTTCTCTTCCCTTCTCTTCTCCCAGCTGAACATTCTGACAGCTCATGCTGCATTTACCATTTATCCTCTTCTAACTGGAGCCGATGCTCATCCCGACTTCCACTCCATCGCACATGCAGTTTCTCTCTTGCATCTCTTTTCCATTAACCCAGAATTTTCCTTCTTCCTCTGCCAACTTTTTCAATTTCATTTCCATCACTGCTCTGCACCGCTAGACCATACCCTCTCTTTCCTCGTTACTCTCATCCCCTGCTCCTCTCACTGAACTGTGACCTTTTCCATCCCTCTTCATCATTTTACCACCACCACCCTCTTCTTTCAGTCTCTCTGTGTGTAGCTCTGGGCGGGTCATGTGACTTGAGAGGGCCCCAGCTTTGCTCTGCCATTCCATGATGATCAACGTACCATCAGAACACACTGATTACACGGAGAGCTGGACACGTGCACACAAGAATATTTAGCACACATGCACACACACGAGAAGACGTCAAAGCCATAACAGCAGCCGAGCTCCTCTGTACCACAGCCAGAGGTGGAAGAAGCGTACACATTCTTTGTACTGAGTACTGATTAAACTTCTTAACTCATGTACAAGTACAGTTTCTGAAATGCACTCAAAGGATAAAGGCACTCTCTCGGTTTCTCTGAAGGACATTTATACCGTCTGTTTCCGTGCAAAGTTAACTGAATCTTCAAATAAGGTTGAGACTGTGTCTTTTACGTTGTTTTTGTTACGTCTGTTATGTGTGAAATGCACGGGTCTTGATGTTGGGAAGGCGTGCACACTCCGAAAACAGGAATCTTAAGAAAGTAAAAAACCTTGTTTCTGAGAAAATAGTCCAATTTTTGGTCTAAAAAGAAAAATTATCTGCTGAAGCATGTTTTGTATTAGAAAGGTAATCTGGTTTTAGGAAAATATATCTAACTAAGATATTACAGCTAATATTGAGCTTGATTTAACCAGCAGCTCAATAAAGTGACCTAAATACTTCTTTTAAGAAAGGTTTAAAGTTTTTTATTGCTTGTAATGAGCACTACTTGCTTACATTTTTGGCGTTTTTCTAGTTTTAAGGCCCATTACAGTCTTTCAGTGGCTAGATCTTTATGCTGGTCTCTAATTCTAGTTCACCCCATTGACAGATCTTTGCTTAATAAAAGAAAATTTGATTGTATTTAAGAATATTAAGCAAAAAATAAATAAATACAGTAATTCCTAAGTAACGAGCCTGTTACTTATATAAGGAGATGAAGTACACATATTTGTGTAAAAATGTAGGGAGGGGAAGTAAAAAGTTCAAGTTAAACTAAATACTCAAAGTACAGACACCTGAAAAGTGTATGTATTTATACTTCACTTCCCACCTCTGACCACAGTAGCTGGACTTTAGGGACAACTTTCTTCACACATAAGTGGTACGTTTGTGTGTGTTGCAAAATAAACTACAACTTGCGATTATATGTTTGTTTGCAGCGTTTCAGTGTAGAGTGAAGGGGAAACTATGGTGTCCACGAAACTCACAAAAAATGCAAGAATGGGCTACTGTAGAAACATGGCAGTTTAACATGGTGACCTCTGTAGAATAGGACCACTCCCTCTGTAGATAAAAACAGCTCAATCTAAGGTAATGAAAAGACAATGATTCCTATATTGAGGTGATTATACACTAATGAAATCATATGAATATTATATTCCATTTTTGCCAATAGATCATCCTAAATGTTACATACTGGAGCTTTAAAGTGGCTTCTCATTTGCCTGATGAAGGTGTAGCACCAAAACGTCCCAAATAAATGTATTATTGCAAGTTAGACAGGGCGTGGGAGTTTATATGTCTACTATTGATCCACTCGTTACTACCTAGTTACACCTACACACCTGTCTCATGAAATAGATGTATAGATGCACAGTGTTCTTCCGTTGTAAGTGTGTGTGTAAAACAGGTGCAAGACGTTATTTCTCAAAATTATGGGCGAAAAACAAACACATCACTCACGTCACTGATTAAAGCTGATTTCCGAGACATTGAGAAAGGAAAAGGAAAATCAATTTCACCGTTTCAGAACGTGTGTGTAATATGTGTGTGCTCCAGCATTCCGGTGTGCTTGCTTTCTGTGTCTTACTGTGTATGACACGTGAAATAACTCGTCCCTCCTATCCTGGGGCATTTACATGCATGCACGCACACAAAAACACACACATTCATCCCTGGGGGTCTCACCAGCATTCTCACTGATGATTTATTTTTAGCCTCTGAGTAACAACACTGAACTGTGTCTGCCTGTGTGTGTCTGCCTGTGTGTGTGTGTGTGTGTGTTTATGCATGCATATGCTAATAGGCGGATCATGGCACTGAAGCGTGCCACACAACGCTGGCTTCCCTACTGACCCAGTCCTTAAACTTAGTGGATTTGCCATCACACGGCCAGGCCCTGATCCATTACAGATCCAGCTTATAAACAGAGTGTGTTCCACCTGTGGCTACTCCTGCTCCCTGCTGCTGGATTTAAGTGTGTGCACTACACAGGACTCAAAATATTTCACTCATCCTTTAAACCTGGCTGAGCTGAGCTGTGAGTGCGCATGAAAATCATTCAAAATGAGCTGTTTATGCTCAGATATTTAACTTCACTGACGAGATAAAAATCAAATTTGTGGGAGGAAATTGTTTTTTCCCCCACAGACCAAAGTGTCTTGCACACCACCTTCATTAAATTTTTGGACGTGTGAGTGAAGTATCACAAGTTTTGTGTGTTTGCTCTTTCAAAAATAATGCACTCACCCCTCAAGTGGCGTGCAAAGACTCACACATTCGTTACCCCCATGCCCCAGTGCCTTAGCAATCTGTTCATAGCGCCTGCCGAGCCTATGGGCACATTAGCCAGTGCGGGCTGTATTGTAGCTTAGCGCTGACAATTAAAAGAAAATTAACAATTCTAGCACTGAAATGGAAAAAAGAGGTAGAAAGCTGCTCTCCAGTCAGAGGGTATCAACCTCCCCATGCTTCTAGTCCTGCATCTAGTGGCTGTTTTTCGACGGTGAGAAAAGAGTTAACACTTGAAGTTAGTAAAACACAATATACTCATAACATAACAGTAATCCTGAATATAGAAGCTGCTCACAGCTGCAAAGGTTAAAGCAAATATTGTGACAGTGGCAAAACAGCAGAAAACATAAAAGTACTATTCCATCCTAGGAAAAAACATTTTCATGTGTGTTTGAGAAATGTCATTGGCAGGGTCATTCTAAAGTCAGTTTGATTGACATGCATTAGAGCAGGGGCCTCCAACCTTTTTGAAAGCAAGGGCTACCTTAACAGAGAAAATTATTGGGAGGGCTACTCTGTGTACTTGACGAACATGTTAAATTACACAGCGGTGTGTATTTCACCATAAGCCATTTTTTCTATTCAGGGTTGAACCAATTTGGTTTGGGATTGCAGATGTGGAAGTTCTGGTTGAGGTATTAACATCGAAGAATCCTATAAGAAATCTACTGATATGAACTGAGAGTCAAAGCTTGCCTAATCAAAGTAAACCAATTCATTTATAGAGCATGAAAATCAAAGTGCAGCTCAGAGAAAGTCATCAAGGGCTGAGGCCATTTATAGAAAGTACACATATTTGTGTAAAAATGAAGGGAGTGAAAGTAAAAAAAACTAAACTAAAACTAAACTAAATACTCAAAGTACAGAAACCTGAAAAGTGTATGTATTTATACTTCACTTCCCACCTCTGACCACAGTAGCTGGACTTTAGAGACAACTTTATATTTTTTGCACCATTTGGGACCCAGAATGAACTCCAGATGCAGGCCAGAATAGGTGTAATAGCATGGTTTCAACTCAGAACATGGAATAAAAGCTAGTCTCAATATACTTTTTTTAAATTAATAAAAACCATACCGTATATCTAAATATTCTGACACAATGGAACCAAAGTACACTTTCTTACAAGTGATATAAAAAAAGTAATATTAAGATTGAGCTTAAAGAACATGCTCTGTGGGCACCTCATAGGGTACCCGTGGACTACCAGGTGCTTTCAGGCAGGAGACCCGTGCTCTACAGTATCATTTCCTGTTAGTGTCAAACAGGTCAGTTAGTTGTATTCTTTGAATACTAACTGCATAACTACATATACAATATACCACTATACTAAGAAGTGATGTATAGCATTCTGTATACAGTTAGGATGTAGTGTGGAATTGGGACACACTGAAATTCAACTCACACTTTTTACACAAGATTAATACAAGAAACAAGCTATGTTCAAAACTTTGGATAGAAATTCAGAAAGGAAAAAGCTCCTTATTAAAATATTTAATAATCAGTATTAACTGATATATTCATGCAGCTGTTATCTGCCTCTGCCAAGCGGCACAGTATTGAAGCTGTTCTTAAAGGATCCATGCCAAACAAGCATAACGCTCTTCTCAAGACAAGCTGTATCTACTGATCAGAGAAGCAAGAAGATTTTAACATTTTATAAATTAACAAAACTCTGCACAGCTTCACTTTGATTGTCTCAATATTGACCCTCAAAAACTCAAACCTTAGTGTGTGTGTCTATAAGCAAGAAACCAACCACTCACCGGCGTTGGAGATGCGTCTCCCTCTTTCCCAGTCCTGCTGCTCTCTGTCCAACTGCTCCTGCTGCTCCCTCTCCAGCCGCTCTCTCTCCGCCTTCTCCCTCTCCATCAGCTCACGCTCGGCACGCTCCTGCTGCTCCTGGCGCTCCCGTTCCAGACGCTCCCTTTCTGCCTGCGCCTCCCTCTCCTGACGTTCCCGTTCCTGACGTTCGCGCTCCTGCCGCTCGCGCTCCAGCATCTCTCGCTCCAGGCGCTCCCGCTCCTGACGCTCCCTGTCTTGGCGCTCGCGCTCCATCTCCTTCTGCTTCTGCAGCTCCTGGAGCTGCCTGGAGGATGGGGAGGAGAGGAGAGGAGAGGAGAGGAGAGGAGAGGAGAGGAGAGGAGATGAAACAGAAAC